GGTAAAGTTGCCCGAGAGAGAGGCCACGTTGAATAGGAAGTTCTTCAGCATCTCTTTGCCGTTTGTGGAGAGGTCATTCTCTGGGTAGAACTGTACACCGTACAGCTTCTTCTCCACATTTGCAATAGCTGCATGAGCAACAACAAATGATGAGTTACTGACAAAAGGAAAGAAACAAAAACACTCACCGAAAATGACGTTTTCTGATTTTCCTACAACTTCAAAGCCGTCGGCTACCTTTGAGACGGTAACGCCAGTAGCCTGTAGAACTTTCTGCTGTGAATCCAAATTACTGAAATGTAAAAAGATGAAAAAAATGCAATAACAGTGTCAAACAGTGGTTCACCTGAAGAGAGGATTCTGACTGTCTACAGTAATGGTCAACTGGGCAGAATCTTTGTGTTCTTCCTTGCATTCCCCCACCGAACCGCCAAAGTGATTGTTTATCATTTGGAATCCGTAGCCAATGCCCAAAACGGGAATACCAATTGTAAAAATATCCTTGTCGTACGGCAGGGAATCTTCGGCGAACACTGAACCTGGGCCGCCAGCAATAATGATTGCCCTAAAATAAAAGGTGGCTGGTTAGGTGAAATGACCTAATAGTAAACAACAGGCATTGGCCATTTACTTGTATTGTTCTTTGAGCAGCTCTTTAGCTGAAGTGTTCAACGGCAAAATTTGCGTCTCGACCTCTAACTCACGCACTTTTCGGTCAATGAGTTTGGGAGAGTGCTGGGAACCACTACAGCTGAGAATGGCCACTTTCTCCGAGTTAAGCGAATCAATAGCAGGCTTGTCACTACTTCTGCTGTCACAACAGTCGTTGTTTGGAGAATTGAGGGCGCCGTTTGGTGTTGACATCTTCCTAGCTCAACTAGATGGTAAACGGAATTTACCTATGATGCGAAGAAAAGTTAAAACCGGGTAAACAAAACAAAAATAACACAGAACAAAAAGTGATTTACTTACTGGATTGAACTGATGCTCAGACAAAACATAGGTTGACTGAAGAAAATAAAAACAAAACGTGCTCTAGTTGCACGCTTGGTGATCCCGTCACACTGTACGTACGCGTATTTACGTATTGCTGCAACCAATGTCGTCGTTGCTGCTCCGTTGCTGCTGCAACACTTGTAGCTGTTACAACAGCAGCAGCAGCCTGATTGAGCTGCATAATTTGGCAAACATTGTTATCTTTTTAATCCTTTACTTGATTACTATTTCTGCATCCAAATTTTGGCTTTTAATTCTGGCCTTAATACTTAATTTAGATTAAAACTTAGAGTCGGTTGAAGTGGCGATTTTCAAAGAGCATCTTAAGCCAAAAATTTGTGCCGCTATGCAGTTGTACCTGCTTGCGATCGAGTAACCTGGTCTCGAACTAATAAACTTTCGATGTGACTGAAGAGAACTGGCACGTCGGTCAGGGGTCGCAGCAGTAGTAGGGCAGTCAAGGCAACTTTTGCCTAGGCTCGGCACAATGCTATGAACTGAGGAAACCCACGGCTGTACTAATTAGACTTGTCTTAGTTCTAAAGTTGTTGCTTTCACTTCTTTGCTTTACTTTAGTTTGACCGTTTTAAATGTCACACGNATTTGTGCCGCTATGCAGTTGTACCTGCTTGCGATCGAGTAACCTGGTCTCGAACTAATAAACTTTCGATGTGACTGAAGAGAACTGGCACGTCGGTCAGGGGTCGCAGCAGTAGTAGGGCAGTCAAGGCAACTTTTGCCTAGGCTCGGCACAATGCTATGAACTGAGGAAACCCACGGCTGTGCTAATTAGACTTGTCTTAGTTCTTAAGTTGTTGCTTTCACTTCTTTGTTTTACTTTAGTTTGACCGTTTTAAATGTCACACAAACTGTCATAGCTGATAGTCGATATTCAATAACATCTGCAAGGTGACCTTTTGTTTACTAAACTAAACTATTTTTATTTGATTCAAGCAGTATGCAGAGATGTGTAGATGCACTAGATGTTGAAGTGCTCAAAGTTTTGACAGATATCAAGGTTGGGTAAACGTTCGTCGGGTGATCGTTTGAGCATGACTGAACGCTGAGCGAACGTTCGTCGATGTAGTATCGTTGCAGTGTAATTGTTAACTTTTGTCAATANACTGAGCGAACGCTCGTCGATGTTGTATCGTTGCAGTGTCGTTGTTAACTTTTGTCAGGTGCGTACTGCGATCGCGATTTATTAGCAAAGTACTGGTGACTGTACATCC